GAATAACCTTACAAAGAGCAGGTTATAAAATATGTATTGAGCTGTGTATAAATAGTGGCTTCTGGGTAGGATTACATGTAGCATTAATCTTGAGCACACTGTGATGAAGTGCAAAGTAAACTACCCTGACTTGAATTGCCAGAACAGAGGTGTGTACTTGAAAATCATGTTGCATTGTTGAATGGCCACCGTGATACACAACGTAGCACACATGAAACACAGGACAAGTGTATTCACATCGGAACAGCTCCAGTGACTTACCATCGGAAAAGATCACACACGATCTTCATCATACTGAACGCCACGGGGCACCAGCGCATTACGCTGTATAACCTACAGTTGGTGTGAGCCTGTGAATGCCCCTGTGTGTGTATGTGTGTGTGTGTGTGTGTGTGTGTGTGTGTGTGTGTGTGTGTGTGTGTCTGTGTGCGTATGTGTATGCAGAAAAAAGAAACGTGTACAGGCCGTTTCAACTTAAGAACACAAGAAGAAATGACACTCTGAATGGAGACAAAGCGCACATACCAAAGGGAAAAGTAAAGCTGAAATTGCTCCAGCACTGCACATAACATGCGATCAGGCATACCCTGTAAATAACACACAACAGTTAGTCAACATTATGGCTCATATGGTGTACAGTACACTACCCACATCTACAGTACGCTCATAGAGACAGGAATGCCCACCACATCTGACATCAAGGCATATATGCAACACACTCTGAGTGAGTGAGTGAGTGAGTGACTGAGGTGTTTGTGGTGGAAGAAGATGGGGTGGAGCAGGGCCAGGCGACTCACTGTGAGGCTCCTCATTGGTGCGTTCATCCCCAGGTCACAGAGGGGTGGAGAGACCAGCCGGAGAGAGAGAGAGAGGGAGAGACTAGAGATGCAAAAAGGAGAATGTCCTAAAAGCCTGGAGGTCCTGTGGCAGCAGTCAGTGAACGGTAGCAGTCATAAGAGCAGTAAAGAGAGGTGAGAGAACATATTCACAAGTGCTAAGGTGCAACAAACACAGTGTGTAGTTGATTTGGTCCAATCAACTTACAATAGAAACATATCAACTCTGTAATGGAAGCTCACAATTACATGGTGGGGGCTTCAGAGGATACACTGCTCATTCACTTCAAATAGGGTGAAGTCATTCACTGCCCTTCAAGCCAATCCATTCACATCCAAGCAAATATTCAAGTGAAAGCACGGTGATGCAAAGAAAGTTTCTGATGACAAAATTAGTCTGGAGATACGAAGCAAAGTTCTGATACTGGAAAAATACAATGTTTGTTGTACATTTAATTTGTAAATGTCTCTAGACATTTTTGTCAAATCAACACAAAAACCAAAAGAAATGTTAAAATGTGTGATTGAGTTTGTGTGCTGTACCAATGTTAAATGTTAAAACAAAATGAATGACATGAATAATATTAATTTTATCTGAACTTTGAATCTTCTGAATTGACTGAAAGTTACAGAACACTGAGAGAAGACAAGAAAAGAAACTGTCCGTCCTATAAAACCCCATGTAGTTAGAAGCAATTTTCCTGTGTAATTGCTACACTTAACATATGCAGATGGAGACATGAGGAAGAGTGAAAACAAAATTACAGGATCTAAGTGCTATTATGTGGGTGTATAGGTGGCAAAGACCGTAATTACTTCCCCATTTGGAGAAAGGACATGTTCCTCATGGGCAAGACGTGATCACTGGGCAGATTAATTGTAACTCTGAGTATTTGTTAGATGTTGAGAACTTTCTTTGCTTAAGTTTTATTTTTAAAGGGTGAACTGAGGCAGCTTGTTCTTAATTACAACAGACAAAGTTTGGTAGATGTGGGCAGCACAGTTACACAGTTCTATTCGACGATTCTCCACCACAGCCGAGAGGTTGATTTAGGCATTCACACAAACTTCTTAGGCATTCACACAAACTTCTTATATCTTATATGTGAACTTTACTTCAGTTTACGAAAAGTGTCAAGACATTTGCAAGGTGTGTAAACAGTGGCCACATTAACATTAACCCTTCCTCTCTCATCGTTTGATATTATTTAAAATATTTCCATTATACCACATTTTCACATAACCAATACATATATATTGTAAGAACTTCCACCTCACACAACAGTACAGAGCTTTTTTAGTTTGGGCAGCTTCATCATGCCGTGCAAAAAGTCACCACAGATGCAAATACAGAAAACATTTTCCTTCACCACTGAAGAGTATCAGTATAACTTAATAATAACTTCACATAGCACTGAAACATTTCCATTGTCGCTTTCGCTATTTGCAGCCAATTCTGTATTTGCACGTGTTGTAACTTTTTGCAGCGTGTGTGTGTCCAAATCTCTGACACTGTATCCTCCAATTACAGGTGTCTTAACCAACAAATGTTTATAAGTAGCCTCATGGTTAACTCATAATACTGAACTTGTGAATTCGATTGTGGCCTGTGTTTTACAACTGTGCAGCATTTTGAAAACAAGGTCAGTTGCAGTGTTGAAATCACATATAAAGGATTTTTTTTTTTTTTTTAGGGATTGGCCAATTTTGTGAAAAACAAACAACCTGGAGGAGCTGAGGTGTCTGCAGGCCTGTGTCTGACCCACTGTGGCCTCACAGGTTTCACTGAGCAGCTGTGAAATCCCAGAAAAACGCTTTAATGAAACAGATTCGTTTAAGACACATAGTGGAGGGGGTGGGGGTGGGGGTGCGCGTCCATGAAGCTGAATGACTGACAGCGATGGAGCCAAGGTTACTATGGAAACGAGAGCTAAAGCTAATCGGCTAAAATCGAGCTAACGTAGAGGAAATTGCGGGACAGCGTGGATGCTAAAACGCAGCTGCTGAGTTGACGTGACAACCTGTCCGTGGGATTCCGTGGCAGATACACGACGAGCTGTCTCCACGGCCTAGTCCCGAGGAGGAGGAGGAGGAGGAGGACGTCCTCACTTCCTGGAGGAGCAACATGCTAGCGCGCAGCTGCACCGAGCATCGGCCGCATCCTCACATCACAGCAGCTGGATGTTCAGTCCACACACACACTCACACACAGACACACACACAGAGACACACACACACACACACAGGGGTGAAGAAAACCCGCTGAGTCACTTACGACAGGAGGATTTCCCTTATCCGCCGCGTCTCGTCCTGTCCATGACATCAGCTGTTTTTCCGGGTGAGCTGGGACGGTGTGGGAGCAGGCAGCGGGAGCGCGCAGACTGGAATCACATCCACAGCACCAGCGCGTGCAGCGGAGGCGCGCAGCCGTCTCCCTGGCAACAGCTCAAGGCCCCCCCCGCCCCCAAATTGCTGCATCACCACTTTCTGTTGTTTTGTTTTTCAACAGTAACCATAATAATATCACTACAAATACTACTACCATTACTGCTTATAGTACTACTAATATTACTGCCTTGCTCAAGGGCACCCTGGCAGTGCCCAGGAGGTGAACTGGCACCTCTCCAACTTCCGTCCATGCTGGACTTGAACCGGCCACCCTCTGGTTCCCAAGCCAAGTCGCTATGGACTGAGCTACTGCTAATAATAATATTATATAATAATAACAATAATAAAAACAATAATGATAATAATAATAAATATATTGTTTATCATCTAAATTTAAAGAAACGTTGGTAGACTACCTCCAGAGTTTTCAGGGAAAAAATAAAAACAAAATGTTTTCTCTCCTGAAATTGCAGTTCTTCTGTGTCATAGATCACAAATAAAATCTTCATCTGTAGATGGTTGAGTTGTACATTACCTTGGTTTACCATTCTGGAGACAAAAACAAATGAAACTCTTTTCTTTTTTTCTGTCTGTGATCCGCGTATCCATAAATGATTGATTTGAGTGCAGTGCTGTCAGGTCAACTCAGGGTAGTGAAGAGTCTGTGAGAGTTAAGGGTGCAACTTCCTCATCAGCTGCTGAATATAGTTGACACAGGCTTGTCCTTTCGTTCTGCAGGAAATTCAGATGCTACAAGAGAACACAAAGAGCAGATAGCTCTCTGTACACAGGCGTTAGCAAAACATGGCTGGTTCAGCATGTTACTGGCCCTGTTCAATTACAATTTATCAACAATGTAGAATGTATTAGGAATGGAAACATCCTAATTCTTTGATTGCTTAAAAATTACAAGGTTAAACTTTGGATGACTGGACCATACAGTCAATAGCAACAGTGAGGGAGAAGTTGGGTATGTTCATCGCAAGATGTAAAAATAAATTGTTTTGTTGATGAACTTGTGTTTATGTGAGTAGTATAATGACACTACATCTGTAACTTTGCTTTAAAAGGCTATGTTAGATAATGGTAAATACATTTAATCCTGAATTTGGAATCCTGAATCTTGATTGGTTAACACCTCTGAAACACTGTAATGCGTAGATTGTCATTTTATAAGACAATAAATAAATGTTTACATTCAAGTTTCACATCGGAGTCAAAATGTCTATAATTAATCATGCAATATTATTTCAAGCACACTCGATTCTTCATTGTTTGTTGTTTTGGCTTCTTCCACAGTACACTTTTTGACTTGCCAGAGAAAAGACTAATAACAATGGTAATTGCAAATTTCCATTTAGAAGCAATAAGCCTGGATAGTGTCAGACTGATAGGAAGCTACCATGCACAATAATATATATAGGATCCTGAACTCATCGTAGGGATACAGTCAGCATATTCACACATGTGCTTTTCCTTTCATGACGTGTCAAAACGTTTTCTGAGAAAAAAAAAGTTACATACTAGGATAGATTTAGGCTCTTATGTATTAGAGATCGAGGCAAATACATACAAACAAAACTGCAGACCCATAAAGAGATCATCTGGAAAATGAAGGGGAAAAAGAAAAAAAAAACAGTCTGCTTCTAATTACATCTCAAACTGGTGACTTAACTTTTTCATTTTTGCAGTTTCCCCCCGCTCCAGCTCCTGCCCAGGACTGTGTCTGAGAGTCAAGACTAATCAAAGGCACTTGTATGGAAAAGGACTGTTGGCCTCTGAAGGGATCGAGCCAGTTCAGGCCAGCCTGTCGCTCTTTCTCTCCTTCTCTCCTTTTCTTTTTCCCTCTCACTCTCTCTCTTCCTGTCCTGTCTGTTTAAGGAGAGAGAGCTTGGGAAATTCCTTCAAGCTACTTTACTTCAGGTTTCTGTGGGATTTAAACATGCACACTGAGGTTTTGGTGCAGTCCATGTTAGTGCCGGTGTTGCTGATTCTGCTCTCTGCCGTGGAGGACACTTTGTTGCAATCGGTGAGGTGAGTTTCCACACAGCTTTGTTTGTTCTTATTTATTTTTGGGGTCGTCTGGATAGCACGGAGGAAGAGGGAGGTGCAGAGTTTTGCTGACAAAGACATTTGGAGGGTGTAATATGAAAAAGTTCAGGAATGCCTGAACATTGGAACTTACCTTTTGTGCAGTTTCTTTATGCTTTAACTTGGCAAAGTATATTATACTGCATGCCAAGTCATGGGGTAAAGTTTGATTTTAGAAATGTGTTATCTAACGTTGCATGGCACGTTTTGAAACTTAAGGACATTCGTTTATTTTGATTTTGACACACATGGTTGGAGACTTCATGGTCATGAGTTTGGTGTAAAAGACGCTTCAGTGACATCTGGGCTGGACGAGGGTTATGTTTTTCAAAAGCTTTAATGAGCAATTACTTGTAGCCATAAGAAAATGAAATAAGGAGATAGAAAATACAAAAGCCTAAATAATTTACTTTTCTGGTTTTCCAAAACCAATATGATTTATAATCACATCCTGTCTACCCTGTGCTATCTGACTGCGTACCATGTTGGGTCCTTATGTTACCTGAGTACTTGATATGTTGCGTACTTATATGTTTTTTCTACTTATATGATAACACCATGGGATTAGAGAGAAAAAGCATTTCAATCCTGTCAATAAGAATATCGATAAAAAACATTGTATGAAGTCACTGATTATGGTTAAAGTACGAGTGTTAAAGATAAATTTCAGTTTATTGGTCTTTAAAAAGTGTAGCCCCCATCAGCAGAACTTGTAATGTTGCCACGCAATTTAAACTTAACTCAGCTGCAGAGCGGCTGTTTACTCCAAGCACGTGCACCGTGCCTGTGTAATGATTATATTGTGTATGTCCCACTGTGCAGTGCAGCTACAGCAGCAGCAAACCCACACATGTTTTATTACAGAGAGCAAGTGCTCCTGGGATTTGCTGCGATTACACAGTTTTCCTCGGGTTTTTGCTACACACATCCAAATTATCTTTCGGTTGTTTGTTTACCGGGTATTTCATCATAACAAGTTGACAGTGTGAAAAATAAGTCGTAGGTGTGAAACAGTCAGTAATGAAGGTTACGCTTCGTAACCTCAGCACAGGCGAGTGCTATGAAATATACATGTTTTATGAAGTACAGCCCACACAACATCCACAAAGACAGCAATTTCTTATGGGTGTATGGGTTTGGATAGATACTCTCAATATTGTATGAAACTAAACTATAGTAAACTATGTCACCCACAGGTCAAACTTCATGACTTACACCAAGGAGGTTGTGTGTACATCCAGAATGCATTCAATATTGGTGTTGATCAGTGGTCAGATCCAATTTTATCACTTTCATAGGGGGATTTTTTTAATGCATAGATATTTATGAAAAACAAATATTTAAAATAAGGGGACTGATACTTGAGTGTGTTCAATTTAGAGCAGATCCCCCAAAAAAATCCAGATGTCATACAGGGGACTGCTTAATCGTGATGGAGCTAATCTGGTTTAATACCCTTCAAAGGCTGACAAACTGAGGTTAAATAATAAGAACATAGTATAATAACAATAAGGTGTCAAGTAAACCAACAGGGAGCACAGACTGTTCATTTACATACTTGCAGAGGTCGTTGCAATCATCAAAGTTGTGTCAATTCAAAGGGAATCTCCAGAGAGGACTCAAATGGCATCTTTGACAGAGCCTTGTCACACAGACAGACTCATGGGGGATTGACAAGCACGAAATACATACAAACATGAAACATGGGTGCCATTTAAAGGTACAGTTTGTAGAATTTAGTGATATCGAGTGTTGAAGTTGCATGTTGCAGCTGAACACCCCTCACCTCACCCTCTCCTTCCAAACATGAAAAAGAACCTGTGGTAGCTTCAGTTGTCATAAAAACTCAAAAGGTGTTTAGTTTGTGCAGTCTGGACTAATGTAAAAAACATGGCAGCCTCCATAGAGAGGGTCCCCTCGATGTAAATATAAAGTATTTG